GACAAGTTTACTCTGTTTGTATACTGTAATTTTCTTGTTTTACTAAGTACAACCGGTTGCAGTCAAAACATAAACAAACAAAATGTAAACATAGCAGACGAAACTCTTACAGATTACAGCTTTCTCAGTAGGTATCACTATACTAAATCAAAGAATTATTCATAAAGACGATATCGAATTCGTCACTGAATTCCCATGTTTTTTGGGACACCCTGTACAAAATGGCAATTTTCTAGAAAAAAAACTTCTTGAAATGATTAACTTTTCTCTCAAAAAGGGCCCAGCACTGAGATTAGAAAAAATGGACTGAACACAAGTGTTAATAACTTAACCAATCGAATGGGGTCTGGAGAAACCAGAACAGCCAATCAGAGATGCTGGGAAATTTGAAATTTTGCGCGCCATTTACTGAGTGAATTCCCATTGGTCGGAAACCGGCAAGGAGAGATAAAAATGGAAAAAGAGCGGACTAAGAAGGAAATTAAAAGTAAAAGCGATCTGAATCCAATTATGAAGCTTTCAAGCTCTCTGAGCACTGTTTTTTTGGATTTTTGTTTACCCTGTTGCCATGACTGAGACTTGGATGTCATTATCAGTATTTATAACAAATTATTTTATCAATTCGATATTTAATGATTAAATGAGATTACCTTTGTTGTATTTTTTATTACCATGTAACATCAAGACCAATTATTTTAAATGATTTCTTTCTAAAATTGAACGCAGATTCTTATTGACAATGCTTTCCTCTATTCTAAACTTTCTTTTCACGTTTAACTAAAAATGATTAATGAAGCAGACAAAAAAATTTAAATTGCACAAAATCAGACGGGGGGAGAGGGGGAAGATTATTGTTGACGAAGATGAGAAAGTTGATAATTAATTGAATTGTTTATTTTAGCTTTCCTAATTCTACTAATTAATTCTATAATGAGTTCACGAAAAACCTTGATTAATTAGTATTGCACGCTGCCTAATTAGAATAATATTAATGTCATAAATGATTCACAACGATAGCTTCTTAACCTTTTTATGAGAAACAATAACTTTGATACTTTAAATTAGTTCAGGTTGGATTTAGAAAGGAATTGAGTCTTTGCCTAAAACTCTGATCTTCTCATCCATATATCTTTGCAACCCAATGCCGTAAACCTTAGATATTTCAAACTGTGAATTCTGTTAAATCAACTATTCTAAATTTGAGACTTTTTTGGCAGCCCCCATACTACTTTAGGAAAAAAGTCCCAGGAATCCAAAACACAGGATTTTATTTCCAGTGACATTTTTTAAAGGACTTAAGAAAATTCGGACTTTTTTCAAAAGTTTTTATTTGCGGTTTTTTTTTCCGGAAACTTTTTTCCCGGGACTTTCTTACAAAGATTCGAAAATTTAAATATCAAAAGATATAGGAATTAGAAAAAAAACATTTTGTGGCGAGTGAACAAGGAATTCAAGAAAATGCTACCAAAAGCCATATTTTTTATTCAGAAGTTTCCAAAGAAGTTGATTCTGAGAATGGTGGAAGAATGAGACGAGAAGAGGATGCTGATGCTGATGCTGATGCTAATGCTAATGATGATGAGTTACAATCCTCAAATCCTAAAAGAAAATTAAACACGAGAACAAGGAATATTTCAGATTTTTTCATATTTAACTTTATAAAAGATTTTTTTTTTAAATTGTTTAAAGCTAAAATTGAATTCTAATGACGAATTTTAATCAAAAAAGAGCGAAAATGGACACTTTTTGACATTTGACATACATTTGTTACCCAAAAGTAGAAATCTTTAATTCTCTTGTATAAAGAGACTGTCAATGAAATTTCAGTTAAACATTCATTTAAAAGAGTTACATTCCCATTTCAGAACTGCACCCTTCACTCTTTATCGCGTTAATAATTAGGAAAGTATCATAGCTTTGCGGCCTTCAAAATATATGAATTTTCTATTGCAAAAACTTTCATAGAAAGCCGCAATTAAAAGTAATACATTTTAACAAATCAAAACAAAGATGGCTCCAAAATTTTACATCGACAAACCCTTTTTATATCGTCTTTGTAGAATCATTAAAATTGAATAACCCTGTTTTTGACAAATCTATTTAACTATTGTTAAAACATGTGTCTGGTTTTATAGAATTATAGACACATATAATTGACAAATATTCGAATATTCTACAAAAAGAAAATTGAAATATTTCTGTTTAGACGGGCGTATCATTATGACAGCCGTTTAGTTGCCACACTTCTTGATGTTTGTATTACTAATGGAAATAGGTAACATAAATGGAAAGTTTTACAAGAAAAAAGAAATATTTTTCCACTTCAACAAAAAAGAAGAAAAAAAGTAACTTTACAACTTGTTTGTTTTATATTTAAAAATATGTATTTAGCGATAGTAAATTATCAAATGTTAAAATGTTCTACACCATGCATCATCATGCTGAAAGATATACATATTTTGGTTGATTCGAGTAATCAGTTTATTTATCAAAAAATAATCAATTAGAAATATTACATAACTGACAATGCAGGCTGCAGCTTGTCAGAATGCAATTGCATTGTCATTATTATTATCATTGTTATGATTTATATAATAATGACAATAAAATGTGAATATAAGTGTTAGGAAGGTCCTAATGGGGTATTTGCATGATTGAAGAGAATAATAATAAACTAGGTTTTATACAATTATGGTTTCTACAGATTCTGATAACATTATTATCTACAGGGGAATCCTCACAATGTGCTTATACTGTTAAATCAGGTTTATTTCAAGTACGACACCGACTTTTAAGCAGTTAGAACAAGCTGGGCAGTTCCAAAACACACATTGTATGATATCTCATTTAATAAACAGAGGATCTTAAATAAAATTCATATCTTTTGATAAGGAGTAAGGAGTGTTCCAAAACACACAGTTTATCTTATGGAATGTACAGGGTGTTTCAAAATACGCAGTTTATCTCATGGAATGTACAGGGTGTTTCAAATAATGCAGTGTATCTCATCACATATAAAAAACGATCTGTATCATTAAAGGGAGTGACCGGCTATGTAAGGTAGTTGAACTGGGTATGCAGTGTTGTGGAAAACTTCTTTCGGATTCATTTGAGACATACTAAACTTTTAAAAAATCTGTAAATCCTGAGTTTGAGCGCAAATTCGACGTTCAAAACTCCTACTTTGGGGGTGGATACTTTTTCAGAATTAGTTTTTTTTTTAATTATTAAATAACGACGACTTAAAATGTAAAAAGTTCTTTAATAAAGTACAGACGTCATGTATCGGAACAGGTTGAAAAAACAAAAATTAACTGTTATGATTAAAATAAATGTAATATATTTATTTTAAATTTATTTTTAGTCCTGAAAATGGTTCCTCATTTTCCGTGTTGTTTTCCGCAGATTTTCTAGAACTATTATTGAAAAGACGACATTTGAAGAGTTTAAAGAAATCTGCGAATAAATTCAAAGAAGATAAGAAATTCAATATAATAATATAAACAAAATTATTGATTCTAGCATTGATTTATTGACAAATTTCTTTTGAGAAATATGTTCCCAACCATCTAATTATATTACTGTGTGAATTTTACTTTTTTTTTCGTCGTCGTTATTTAGTAATTTAAAAAAAACCTATTTTAACACACAAAATAAAGCGTGTGTCATTAATATTCTACAGGGTGTTTAAATAAAAATAAAGTTTGTCTTATTAAATATTATACAAATACTTCTCTAAAAATATTAAATTGCGGTGCAGGGTGTTACAAAGTATAAAAATTGATCAGATTCAACATTTTCGTAAATCATACTTGTTTTAATATAAGTGACATAAACGGAATAAATGAGGAACTCCTTTAATCTTTGTTTACAAATAAAGTGTACTGCAGGAGGAATATAAACAAATTTTAGCCTGATAAACACGTTTGTTTACAAAAAGTGCATTTATTTTTGGAAACAAAACTGCGGAAGTTTCTTTTATACTCATTGGGTTTAACGAATTTTTTGTCGGATTGATTTAATAATGAAAATAAATTGATTTTAGATAATTTATGATTAATAATTTTCCTGAAAATTTTCCCATAATTTGCTGTATAACTAATTTTACATCTTGTTTGTAATTCCCTTGTTTTCATATCTTTCATCTATATTTCTGACGCCGGGTCTTTATTATGCGGAGTTTTGAGTTTATGCTGCAGTACACCATTATTCTCTTGTTTACAAATATAATTTAATTATATTTTGTCTGGTTGGATGTAAACTCATGCACTTTTACAGTTTGGTCAATATTCATCTATATAATTATATTTTGTCTGGTTGGATGTAAACTCATGCACTTTTACAGTTTGGTCAATATTCATCTATCTAATTATATTTTGTCTGGTTGGATGTAAACCCATGCACTTTTACAGTTTGGTCAGTTTTCATCTATATAATTATATTTTGTCTGATTGGATGTAAACCCATGCACTTTTACAGTTTGGTCAGTTTTCATCTATATAATAAACTCATGCACTTTTACAGTTTGGTCAATATTCATCTATATAATAAACTCATGCACTTTTACAGTTTGGTCAGTTTTCATCTATATAATAAAGCTCTTCGCTCATATATATATATGTATATATGTAAATTTATATGTTAGTAATAGCTGGCCCAACGGTTAAACCAAATTGGCTTACATTTTTAAGGAGATCCCGTGAGTGATATAAGCTAAAAATTTAGAATTTTATAAATTCACGGAAAACGCCGGGCACTTCAGCTTGAAGTTAATAAACCTTTTCTACAGATTTTAAAATTTGATGTTTTTATCCTTTATTAGCCTTCATTATTTTGTCTGAAAAACCATGATTTTCAGTTGTCCTTTTTTAACCATTTTATTTTTATTAATTTTTGGCTAACCAGTGCTATACATTTTTATAATCCTTTTGTTGAAAAGTTTTATAATTTAAGCTTATCATTGCATCTGAAGAAAATCTAAATTATAATTTTTATAAATAATTAAGTTAGAGCGTCGAAATTGTATTTTCGTCTTTGTAAAGTGCCCGTATGTGTTTGTTGTATCTGTACCTTCCAAAGGATGGGCATAGTTTTTTTTAACGAACGTAATGTTCAGATAGAACGAAATTTTCGTGAAAAAGAACGTCGTTTAGAATAAAACAAACGATGGAAAAAACCACACCCTTCTAGTTACACAAACAGCTATCTCATTCAAATAGTTTAATTCTTATAAAACTTTTGAAAAAAATATCCCATTGTGCAGTGTGCACCGTGTGCAGATGTCAGATATATTTGTTTATATCTTGCATTTCTCAATATTAAATTCTATATTCACTTTCATTCTTCTTTTTCCATTCAATAATAATATTAAAGGGACAGTCAACGCAACTTCAATGTACCTCCTAATTAAGAAGTTTCATGTCTGTTTCACAACGGTACCCTTTAAAATTTAATCTGAGCACAATATAATCGTTTTTCTACCTTTAAACGTGTTGTACTTTCACCATTAAGGAAAAATCACAATTAAAAAAAAATTTCAAAAAAAGAATATTTTCTTCGTTTTTATCAGATGAGGGGTTTAAGGGTATCGTTGTGAATAGGGTATACCCCTTTAAAATGGGGGGGGGGGTCACTTGGAACTATGTGCTTATTCTCTTGTAAGTTTGGAGGCGGAAATAAAAAGAAAATATAATACACACAGTAAATTATAAAAACATTATTTTGGTTAAAACTAGATCAAAAATGTAATGATTATGGATTATAATCTATGATGAATAATTTTTTTTATTAAAGGGCGAGACTCATACATCATATAAAAATAAAAATTCCATTACAAATATTGCTTTCTCTGGCCACAAGGAAAAATTTCGGTGGCACAAGTTTTTTGGTGTCTCAAATTTTTCAGGATTTCTCATTTTTAATATTGTTTAGTCTATATTACATTTATAACTCTGTGAGTCTAGTTGTAAATATACTGTTTGTATTATATCTTCTGTAAACAAACAAACAAAAGATACCCAATGGAATAAATGAATAACGGGGAATACAAGAAACCTGCCAATGCAAAAAAAATGAAAGTAAAGAGGAATAAAGAGAGATCCAAAATTAAAAAAGTTTTTCGTGAATACGCTATTAATTAAAATTTTTTATGAATTTGTTGTACTGGTTATAGGTACATACCTTATGTACAATGTACAGTTAAGTTCTGTTTATATAGCAGAAGGTACTTTAATAATTTTGCTTTACATGTACAAGTACATTTTGCTAAGTAGGCGATGAATGAATTTGTCGTACATGTACGTACATCCTTCTTCAGATTAAGGGGGGGGGGTACATAAAGGAACTAGTCGTACATGTACTACTGTATTCTGTATAGGGAAGGTACATGAAGGTACTAGCCATACATGTACTACTGTATTCTGTATAGGGAAGGGTACATGAAGGAACTAGCTGTACATGTACAAGTACATACCTACGGCAACTGTGGGGTTCCCTGTCCTGGAAACAGTACATCAGAGTGTCTTCAATATTTATCAAAGTAAGATTTGTTTTTAGTTTAAAGGGAGTGTCTAGCTAGGTAACTTCAAGCCTTACATGCCTGATTCACAACTGTACAATTTATTAGATGACTAGCCTCTGGCTTTCAGTGCGCTGCGCGCCACTCTTCTATTTCAATTGTACACATTTTCTCTTTGTATACATTGTGAAACAAAAACAAACAAAAAACGCGGATTTTATAAAATAATTTCACGGATTTTCAATATTCAATGAAAATCGAATTTTGTTGGGGGCAAAATTTTGAAATTTTGATCATGGATAAACCTTCCCGGGGGTCATGTGAGGTCCCACACAAAATTTGGGCCCGATCGGTTCAGCCGTTTCGACATTTATTGGTTACAAACAAACAAACAAACAGATAGACAAGCAAAGTATATAAATAGATTCTTGAGGAAAATATTGTCGTTTTTATGTTTTGAAAAAGTTTTAAAGATTTTTAAAATTTCCTTCCTTTTCTCTGCTAATAATTCCGCAAGGATATTTTATTTGCCCAGCCAGAGGTTTAAAGGTTACTAATGTGAATCGAACATGCAACTGTTAAAACGGAGTGTTACCTAAAATTTCGTGGATATACCCTTTAACATGCAGACTGTGATATACTCTTCATTCCTAGTTTATCTATCCTTTGATCTGTTCTGGTGAACTTTGAAATTGACCTGGTCACCCTGCTCACTTCGGTGTTATAGTTTCACATTTATATCCAAGAAGAAGGATTCGTAAAACATATTTAAAATAAAAAAAAATCAAATCCAAATATATTTTTTTCAAAATGCCTCCCCTCGCAATTACTTTCACTTTAAAGGAACTGTAGGCGTAATTTCAAGTGACCTTTTGTTAAAAAAAGGGCCCGGATTCACAATGGTACATTTAAAACATTAGGCAGATCCAGAATGCCTGACATTTCCTTATTTATCTACAGAAATACTTGTTGTATTTGTGTTTGTAATTGTTGAAAACTTAGTCTGCTAGCTGTTTGAAATTCAAGAAATATTTACTTTCTAGAAGTGACAGAAAATAAATATTACATTCAAATTTTTAAAAAACCGCGTTGGACATGGGGTATTTACTATTCAGGGTGTCCCACATCATTAGATCGTTTATAGATCTAAACTAAGATTTAAGTGACTAATAAGAAGAAAAAATTATTCATCGAAAAAAATGTTTAGGCTTATATAAAAATTTTCTTGCAGAAAATACCAGGTTTTTTGAGTATTATGTGCATTTTTTGGCGTTAAAGTTTGAAGATAATCTATAAATATAAAGTTGCAATCTCTGTTTGTCTGTTTGTTTGTCCACGTAAATGTTCTTAGCTTGGTTTTGAGATTTTAAGTTGAGTGGGTCGACTTTAATAGCGAAAATTTAGTTTCCCGGTAAAATCGTGCGGGTAAACGGCGGAAGTATCTTATAGTAACCTGGGCAGTGCTGGGTTCCCAAGCTACAGTCCAATATAATTTGAGACGCTCTGTAGATTTTCAAGGAATACATGCTTTTAGTTCACACAGTACGCTAGCGTACACTCCCATTTTACGGCTATTTGTACAGTATTTAATAGATATACATTTAGTTTTCTATCCTCGATAATCATTGAAAGGTTTGAAGGGTGCCATTGTGAATCGGGGATGTCCCCCTTTAAGTGGAAGGTCACTTGAAATTACGCTTACTGTCCCTTTTATATCATTCAATTTTATACCATAGTTAATTTAGCCTTATCAATCTACAAGGTTGGCCACATTACATATATATATAGATAGATATATATTAACTGGATGTTTTTAGATTCTACAAGTTCCTGTTGGTGTTTGAAGCTGATATTTGTGAGCACTACGTTTCTAATCTTGTTTACCAGGTTCTCCAAACCAGCATGGTGCCGGTCGTCTTCGGTAAGTTCCATCCACGTGTTTTTCCACAGTTTCCGGTCTAACATAATCTTCCCATTTTGAAGATAAAAATAATCGTTTTTATGAATATTATAAATAACTTTTAATTTTAAAAATTACGCAAAGTTTTCAAATTGTTTGCAAAAAAATAATGATTTTAAGGTGGGGGAGATTATTCCAAGGATTTGCAGCCAGGATCTTATATTGACGCAATGCCGCAGACTCCTGAAAATCTGGCTCATTTTCTCATTTACCTGGACAAACATCAACCAGTATTTAATACATATACACAGGTAGACTTTTTAACAATATGCAATATGTAGATATGTAGACTTTTATTTCAATGGATACATATTTAACATTATATCTTGTTCTATCTGTAAAATCGCTTGTTCTATTTGTGTAATCTCTGGCTCTATCTGTGTAATCTCTTGTTCTATCTGTATAATCTCTTGTTCTATTTGTGTAATCTCGACTTGTCCTTTCTGTATAATCTCTTGTTCTATCTGTATAATCCCTTATTCCATCTGTGTAGTGTGTAATCTCTTGTTCTATCTGTGTAATCCCTTGTTCTATCCGTATAATCTCTTATTCGATATGTGTAATCTCTTTTCTTATCTGTGAAATATCGTGTTCTATCTGTGTAATCTCTTGTCCTATCTGTGTAATCCCTTGTTCTATCTGTGTAATCTCTTATTCGATCTGTGTAATCTCTTGTCTTATCTGTATAATTTCTTGTTCTATCTGTGTAATCTCTTGTCCAATCTGTGTAATCTTTTGTTCTATTTGTGTAATCTCTTGTTCTATCTGTGTCATCTCTGGTTCTATCTGTGTAATCTCTGGGTTCCTATATGGTTGCATTATGCATTGCTACGGGGATATCATCAATATTCTGCTGTTTTATTTCTAGGATTAGGCTTAAACCTTTCAGACCCTTTTCCGGACTTTGACCTTT